GTATTAGGAAAGTTTAATCCTGCTAAGGAAAGGTACCCTATGACCGAAAAGAGAATTCATGACAGCCTTACAAAGACCTCACACTGTATTTTTCTCTTCCATCCTAATTCTAGCCTGGACATTGGTAAGTGCCAATGTAAACTCTGCCAAGATAAAGATGGTGTCACTTGAGCTTTAAAGTGATCTTAGAAACCTGGGATTAAAGATTGGACAACTCAGTCCAAGATATGGAAAGGGTTGAGAGGTTATCAAGGCAAGACAAGCTAATGTAAACTTTAGCTAGTATCATCTACCCTGAGTGCTCCTGGATATCTGGACTCACAGTGAGCTGGCAGGGATTTCCATGGGCACAAAGTGGCTCTCAAACTGGAGACAGATACCAAGGACCACCACAGGAAGGTCGCCTGTAAGGGGAATATCCCAACCCAGAGTTCAAAGGATTCTATGTTTTAAGCTTCTTGGTTTCAGTCATGTGTACTTCCTGGGAACAGAAGTAAAGGTGTGGATAGAAATACCCCATTCCAAATTTGGTCCTTGAACCTGGAGGCTCTAGGAACAGTGCCTTGAGGACAGAGAAGACCTGAGACTGCCCTGGGCAGCATAGTCCAGGGACTAAGTACTTATCACCTTGGGTCACCGCTACCTGCAGAGCACGAATCCCCTTGTGGGTCCTTCACTTCCTGTGTTTCTGGACACATGAGTTAAGCAGTTGGAAATGCACTTTCTTCTCAGTGAAATCAGAGTGGTAACTGTGTCCTGCCTCTGTGCAGGCTTGCTGTGATGACAGTGAGGCCAGCTGTGAAAGTGCTTCGCTGTCTGAAGGGCTATGGCAGCAGCTCCTGTCTGGACCGGGTTCTTCCCAGGCCTGCAACTCAGGCCCACTGCTCTGCTGCCTCTACCTGAGGAACCCTGTTCTGTGCTCCTGTCCTTTCTTCCCCTTTCACTGTGTCCTTGCCATTCAGTGCAACCATAGCCAATCTCTGAGCCAGAGCACAAAGCCCTGGGCCGTCTATGGTGTATTCAGACACACTAAGAGCTGCTCTAAGAAGCAGGCAGGCCAGGTTGGAAACCTTTTCTCCATCCAAGCCTGGGGTTCCCACTAATAAGCACTGGAGAAGAAACAGTCCTCATGCCACGGGGTTTGGGGAAAGCTCTGAAAAGGAATCATGTGAATCTGTCCAACAAACAGTTCTGAACCCTACCCCCTGGTCAGGCAGCTTCCTCATCTGTAGTTGGGAGACAGTGTCCACTTCAGAGGGCCAGCATGAGGAGGAAGGAGACAATAGCACAAAAGCTCTTAACATACGTGACACAAACTGACTGCTCAAAAATTACCACACACACACACCCCCTTGTGAGGCAGATCTCTTGACTGTCCTATCCGACAGATGAGGAAAGAAAACGAAAGAGGGGCTACACAGCCTGTCAGGGACACTCAGGTGCTGTGTGACAGAATTCAGTAGGATGGAACGTGCTAGTTCCAGCAGGTGGCAGACAGTAAACATTCAGTTTGTTGGAGATATTTATATTATCAGCCTGAAGTCTTCAGGACCCTGCTCTATACACAGTGGCTGTTCAGTAAATGTCAGTGGATTATTTGTCTTGCTGGAGAAATGAGTAATGCCCCATCACCCCAAAGGTTCCCACTCTCTAACTCGTCCATTCCCTACTAGCTGAATTACCATTTGTCATCAGAGCCTCAGAGGTAACCCGAGAGTATACATCCATTCATGTCTTGGCACTGTTCACATCTCTCTCTTAAAGCCTGTTCCTTTGAAAACACAATCATAGTTATTTACAATAAAACTGCCTTGCAACTGGTGTGCCCTCTAAATTCCCTCCGCTCTTTTTGGAAGGCAGCTGACAGGTGAGAGACTGCTCCAGCTCCTGGCAGGGGCAGCTAGCAGAGGAGATGAGAGGAGAAGTCCGCATGCTCTTAGTCAAGAGGCTGTGCCAGCTCAGTCAACCTGGGGCGATTATGTCTGGTCTGCCAGCTTGGACACCAGTGCCAGGTCCCAATGGACAGGCAGCTGTGTTCATGCTCAAGGCTTGCCCGTTGCAAAGGGCTTGAGTGTGTAGAATGTAGGCAGTGGCAGAGTCCTCGGGGCCTCTGCATGAGTGTGCTCTCCATAAAGCAGAGGCAGTTCATGACTCCCAGCTCCAGACCGACAAGCTTCTTCCTGTAAATGTGGCTTGTCACCCTGTTGTTGCCGCCACAATTAAAATTAAGCCCAATGAAATGTTCACAGACCATCACACCTGGAAGGGATCTTACAGAGGTATGTTTGTCAACACAAAGCCTGAGGACCACCTGCATTGGAATAGCCTGGATGGCTTCTCTGAGTCATGAGTCCTGGTCCTAGACTGCCTGCTTTCTCAGAACCCCTGGACTGTGGGCTCAGGAGCCTCCATTTCTAACAAGTATCCCAGGTGGTTCTATTGCATAGGGATGCACGAGAGACGTAGATATGGAGAAATAGATGGCATCTGAATCACAGAGGGAGACATGAAGACAATTGAATCTGCCTCCGAGGAGAGAAATAATATCCAGGTCTTCGGAATCACAAATGTTTCTCCAAAATGACATCATGTTTCCTTTAGTTTCAGGGAAACCAAGACATTTCTTCCACAAACTTTACATTGCTATCTCTCAGCAAGGCTTACCTGAGATGGGGGTAATAGGCTTTGGCAGATCTAAAGTCCATGTATTATAATTGTTGAAACTAGGAGGCTAGATTTTGAGAGAAATAACAAATTAAAGCTTAATCATGATACTGAGGAAGTAGAAGAAGATAAAACGGAGTAAGAATATTTGTTGTTTTTGACCTACTGCTTTTTGATTGAGAATGTTTTCTCCCTACACCGAGAGTTATCTAAAAAGGCACCTTTGTGTTGCCTTGGTGGCTTCAGTGGGCTGGGAGCACAAACACTGAATATGTGTTGGATATTTCCAACTGCTTTGCTGTTGGAATGACCCTTGATATTCAGGCTGCCCTGGTGAAATGTGTGTCAGCATCTCCATTTAAGTGATGAAATTCAGAGAAGAGATTTGTCAAAGTTTAGTTGGCAACTTTCTGAAATCCAGAGAATGTTAGAAAATACTAATCTTTTTTTTTTTTTTTGAGTTGGAGTCTCACTCTGTCGCCCAGACTGGAGTGC